CCTTGTGAAAGTCATATTGTCAACCCAGAATTGCCGTAATCACTGACATGGTTTCTCCTCTTTTTTTTTTGCCCATATTATTTTATTATACTAATCTCACTAAGCTGATAAATCACTATGATATTTTGATGAAAATCAAAGATCAGCGTATCACTCATATTCTGTTCTCTACGCCAGTCGGACATTTCATCGTCATTTAGTAACATACCTGAAATCCGTAGTCATACCCTTGGGTCCAAGGTATTATTACAATCATTATTTTTACGTCATCGGAAATCCGGTTATCACTGGGACCAACAGCCCAACAAACTAGACAATGTCAAATAGTATGAAAAAAACAATAAATTTTACTTGAGACGATTAATTTCGTTTATGAATTTCTACAAAACAATAAGAAGACGTATTTGAATTTATCTGAATTGTGTTGTGTATTTCCGCGCCTCATCTCAAACAATCTGATCACACGTGTAATTGTCATTTGGAATGTATATGAAAATTACAAAGTGTTAATAGGTGAGAGAATAGACATAGGTGAAGTTAAAATGCCATACTGAAGATCAATATAACAATGTAGACGCATAACCAAAGAACAAAGACAGTAATACATATGCTCTAGTATCAAAACAAGGTTTACCAATGAAGGTTTAATGTGATGACGAATTGTTTTTGAACACACAACGGTGGTTTAAACTTTCTATTCGCAAGGGATTACGCAAACTTTAGGATACCCCTCAAAAATGTTTTACAGGTAGATTTCACAGAAGTATAAACATCAAATTTGTGTCCAGTCTCTATAATGTATTTCACAATAGAAGAGCTAGGTCGTCTATTTTTCATCATAAATAGGTCCAGAGGATTCAGTTTACTTCTGATGCCATTTAAGGATATGCTTTGAAACCCTTACTTGCAAAGATATGCGAGTTCCCCCTGTCTATGTGTGACTAAATTATTATTGTTATTATTGTTCCCTTGGGTTCCTAGTGGAACATAGGGCTTCAACTGCACATCTCCACTTGCTTCTGTCTTCTGCTGTACTTTTCACTTGCATCCATGTTAGTCCATACTGTTTCAACTCCTCTTCACACAATCTCCTCCATGTCACACTTGGACGTCCCACTCGCCGCTTCCCTTTCGGGTTCCACTCGAGCACTGGCCTGACGCGCGATGTCACCCAGCGGCCTCCTCCTCAGCGAGTGTCCAATCCATCTCCACTTTCTCCTGCATATTTGTTGAGCGATTGGTTCTTGTTTTGTTTGTTCCCATAGTTTCTTGTTGGTGATTCTTTCCGGCCATCTGATCTTCAGTATAGAGGGCGAAGACAGTTGTTGATAAAGGTCTGCAACAGGCTGTTGGAAATATTCTTTGTGACCCGCCGCCAAGTTTCTGATCCGTATAGAAGAACTGACTGACTTGACGTTTGTATTGAAAATCCGAATTTTGTTGTTGATGCTGGCTGAGTGACGAAGATTTCCAGATTGGTTTCAGGTTGATGAATGTGTTTCTCGCCTTCCCGATTCTCGATTTGACATCCTCGTCCGTTCCTCCTGTAGTTGAGACAATGCTCCCTAGATAAGTGAATGAAGTAACCTCTTTCAAATCCCTCCCGTTGATGGTGATTGGCGCTGGATGTTGCTGCTGTTGTTGTTGTTGTTGGTTATTTTCATAACCTCCGTCTTGTCTATGTTCACCTGGAGTCCTGTCTTTGCTGCTTCTTCGACCAGTTTGTCGGTTTTCGCTTGTAAGTCTTCGATTTTGTTTGACATCAAACATAAATCATCCGCGAAATCCAGGTCTTCTAGGTTCTTCACTTCGGTCCAGGATATCCCTGTCTTCTCGTTTCCCACTGTCTGACGCATAATCCAGTCCACCACAATTAGGAATATCATTGGTGATAATAATAAGCACCCTTGTCTGACTCCTGTGTTTACTCCAAACGCCTCACTGAGTTTTCCGTTGTGGATCACTTGACATGTGCCGTTGTCGTACAGCTGTTGAATAAGGTTGATGAATATTTGGGGTACGCCGTAGTACTCGAGTAGTTTCCAAATTACTTCGCGGTCAACGCTGTCGAAGGCCTTCTCAAAGTCTATGAAGTTGAGGTAGAGATTTGATTGCCATTCCATGCTTTGTTCGATGATGATGCGTAGAGTTGCAATTTGGTCAGAACATGATTTGCCTTTCCTGAATCCAGCTTGTTCTGGTCGGAGTTCTGTATCCAGTGCGTCCTTTATTCTCTCCAGGATGATGCGGCTCAGGATTTTACTTGGCGTCGACAGGAGCATGATTCCTCGCCAGTTCTTGCAGAGTCCTAAGTCGCCCTTGTACGAATATTCCACGTCCCCATCCTTATTTTTGCTTTCGTCGAAAGAAGGCACATCAGATGACTGGCTTCCTGAAGGCTTTCATCAGCCTGCGTCATTTCACTTCCCCGATTCCAGCGCAAAATAAGGTCATTGTTTGTATTTTTAGAATTTTTAATATATTTGTGCGTTGAAGTTTTTGTAGCAATTTGGTTAAGTTTTGGGGGTGGAGTTGCTAGCACCACGCCCCAACCCCCCCTCTTTATCCGGGCTTGGGACAGGATAGAAAACTAGTGACCTAGTAATCTAGGCGAGGTTATGTGTGACTAAACGTACATTTAAACTGGTAGATACAGTGGGATATATTGTCATTTTTTATATGTCCTGAGGGCTTACATCGATTTATAGGCTAAACATTCTCAATTAGTATGCCTTTTTAACCGCAGCATTCAATCTTTGTCTAGTTATCAATCTACTATGATTAACCCTGTAGGACCGTTTGATATGTAGGTCCTTCTTACTATATTCCATATTGATATATGCATATATCTATATACAGAGAGAGAGTGTGTATGTGTTTATGACGATAAATTAATTAAAATTCAAATAATAAAAAGGCAGAGTAATTAATAATTAGCCTACTCATTTGTTTAATTAACAATTCAATCATAATAATCTTATCAAAATAACGAAACGTTGTCATGCCACCACCATGCATTTCTCCACCCGCAAACAAACACAAATAAAAAAACAAGCATGCCCAACACAAGCGAGAGAGAGAAAAACACAAAACATAATTAGAAATAACATTTTTATCTTCTATTTATTTTGGTAGTGCTTGTTTTGTTGACTTATTTTTATTTATTTATTTATTTTATTTGCTTGCTCATTTATTTATTTGTTTACTCATAATCGAAACACTGAAGAACAAGGTAAACAGGGAATAACACTGAAGGATAGATTTTACATCGTAAATAAATCTGGGATATTTCATTTTAAGTTTATTGTTGTAGTAGTTATTGCCATTGTTTAGTGTTGTTGATTTCTTTTATTGAGATGAATAGCTCTCAGCTTATTATCAACATATATATATATATAATATTTGTCCTCCATTGAGTTACGCTTCCTTCCAGATATCTAGTGAATAGAATTTTTTAAAATAAACAGCAGAGCAGAGAAGAGAAAAGTTGAGAGATTACGAGTTAAATTGAATTGTAGAGTGACTGGTGTTTTTTTTGCTGTCAATTTTGATGAGATAAACCATGTTGGAAAAATAATTCGTTCAAGTTCATTTTTATATTTAAATATTTTTGCTATGCTTCAAAGATTCGCTGGCCACTGGGCTGATTTCTTCGGGGCAGGGTTGCTAGCCTCACCAAGCCCAATTTGTCCGCCTTTTTCTGCGTTTCAGACCAGTTAATGTACCAGTGAACTATTAAACTAGGTAACATTGTTTCACCTACCAGTATCGATACGTGTGAAGGCGTCAAAATCACTCAGAATTGGAAAACAAGACAGACTTTTATTAGTCTGAAATTAGTTTTGGAATTGGTTGTAATCACTATAAGTTAGAAGATTTGAATTTCCAACACCAGTATGATATCAGTACTTCTATATAGTTCTGACTATTGGTGCATCATGGAAGGCATTTTAAGTAGGTAGGAAGTCGTGACCAGTAGGGTGCAGCAGGTCGGGTGTGAGGACAAATACTCGCCGAAGACATTGGCTAGCGGTTGCGCTATATCGTGAATTAGCAGAAGTTTGTGCACTGCAAAGCAGTCGTTATTTTCTTCCACGTATGCTTCCACACGTACATGTAAATTGGTATATGCAGTTAGACGTAACATGATAGGACGACTTAGATTGTCTCAGTGAGCAATTTATTCAGTAAATTGTGACTAATCTAACAGCTGGGTAACTTTGTTTGACAGGTGCATTCTTTCAGATACTTCATCACCCTTAAATCCAAACTTTTGGAAGACTGGTATCTTATCAATCAGACTGACACCTGAAGTTATTTTCTTTCATCTGTCTTTCTGCATTCAATTAGGCGAAATTAGTGGTTACTATCTTCTAGCTAATTAATTAATATTTGACAATATTTCGTATTTTGATGCTAAAATTGTTTTAGGTTGTATGCCAATAGCAGTGGGATAGTATACGACCTAATGGTTTTTGTACATGGCTAGAAGAAGGTTTTGTGCTATGTGTACGCTTCCCATTCCGATAAGGGTTTCCTGCCTCAGTCTAGGCGTCTATAACGTACGAAACTTGTATACAAATAATAATAAAAATAATGTGTACAGTTGGCCAGAAGCAACTAAATATAATAAAAACCCATATTATCCCGCGCAAATGGTTGTTCTACCTTTTGTTTTGCTACTTGACATTTAACTACTATGATTATAATCACAAGTATTTTGATTGCATTTCATACCATTATCATTATTATTTCATGTATTCACACGTTTGATCTAATTCCCCCACCGGATGTAATTTCTTAAAAACCATATATATATATATGCGATTGTACAGCCTAATAATAAATTCGTTGTTGAAAACAGTCTCTTCGCTGAATATTGTTTTCTTAATGTTCCTGCTTTGTCCAAAGTTAAATATTTGTTACGTTTAATGTGTGTACGGCTACTTTGTTGCTCGTTGTATGCGTTCACATTTCTCACTCTTTCTTTTATTTACTAGCTAATGAACTGGAAACTCAGCTCTTCAGGAATGAATGCAGCCACTGAAAGCTTTCTTATCGTACATCGTTTTGGTTCAGTAAGTTTCATTATCCTTGTGAATTATTATTTATGTCTTGTCGTCTTGTTTTGTTTCTTCTGAATAGACTATAAACTCATAATTTGTTTTTTACAGTATATTGTTTTTCAGTCAGAGCATAAACAACGAAAAACAACGACACTGAAGGCTTTATTTTTCTATTTTTTCAGAACTGTCTAGTGTTCTTGGGTACAGCTGCTTTTTTTAATTTACTCTCTTCAAACAACCTTGTCTTTAAGAAGAAATAATGCTCAGTTAAATTATATAGAATGAAGTTTTATTATTAATATTTTTCCCTTGGTTTCCGAGTGGAACATAGGGTTTTGGTAGCTTATCTCCGTTTCATTCTCTTCCCTTCTGTACCTGTCAGCTGGCTCCAACGCTACTAATAAGCTTTTGTTCACAGTTCACACGATTTCCTCAGTGTAGCAACCCAGGGGCATACCCAACTTGCGGCTACCTATTCAGGTTCCGGCCAAGTTAAACTTTAAGCACCACTAACTACCAACCAGTGAACGACCTCGTATGGTCCAGTGAGGTTCATGCACGTGAGTTCAAGGTTGTATAGCGCTTGATTTGTATCAAATGCGTGCTCTAACGAAGTTACGCTTGCAGTTCGAGGAGGATAAGGTTTTGCAGTATTGCCTGGATTTGGGGTCGCTTAGGAAGGAGACGATTTGTTCACGTGGTGGTGTCATGAGTTTAAAAAGCTTGAGCAGGTCGATTGATGGATATGTTCATCGTTGTGCAATTCGCTTGAGACAAGCTGATAATTTTAATATTTCGTAGGAACATTTTTTGCTAGGTCGCATCTCTCCCTAACCCAGACTTTGTACGTACTGGGTTTCAAAACAGCCTATGGGAGGCGCAGCTGCTGAAACCGAAAATAGCCTCGTGTCAACAGTTCAGTGGTACCAGCACTGCAGAGACATCGCATCATGGAAAATGGAGAGAATTACTTCGCTGTTAGGCGGAGAAGGTATCATCGTACACGTGGACGAAACTGTGTTACGGAATATACACATTTGATCATAGGGAATAATAAGAAGACAGTTGCAGCGAAGAAAATTTTCTTTTCGACGAAGTCATCAACTAGGCTGTACATTCGTGTAATTATAATAAATTGGAGGGAAAGTTCCAGAATAATTTCCGGTCAATGGTCAAATTAATAAAATTACAATTAGGAATTAAAATGCCATAATAAACAGGGGGACAGATAAGACTCAAACAAAATAGCATCATAATTACTGAGAGGATTGACGTATTGTGCAATTAGGGCTTACTGAAGAAAAAATGCAACCGTGGTCGTGAGCGATCCAACAATGTTTGGGTGATCGGTTTATATGACACCTCCCTGCGGAAACGATTCGTGGAGAGAATACCAGATAGAAAGTCTGCTACCTTAGTACCTATTGTCACTCGATTTGTGAAACAGGGATCCATAGTACATACTGATGAATGGAAAGGTTATAACTTGCTGTCATCCCTTGAATATATTCATCACAGAGTGAACCATCTAGTGATTTTGTGGATCCAATTACAGAGACATACACGAATTCTTAAAAGGATTTTGGGGAAGATTGAAAAACAGGATTAGGGCTATAAATGGATCTGAAAAGGATCTCATATATAGTCATTTGGATAAATATATATGTAGAATGTGGTGTGACTTTTCTGCTGACACTCCTATGCTAAACTGGGAGATGTTTTTGTCACATTTGAAAAGATACCCTATGAACAGTTTTATGCAGTTTTTATGCTTTTTTTCCATAAATATACGTTTTCCTTAATCGAAAATCCCTCTTTCATGTGATGGTCCGTTGAAGGTCGTTCGCTGATTGGTAGTTAGTGGTGCTTAAAGTTTAACTTTGCCCAGGTTCCATTCGAGAGTCTGCCTGACGCGTGATGACACTCAACGGTCTCCTTAGCGTATGTCCAACACACTTCTCTTTCCTTCCGAATATTTTTTGGATAACTGGTTCTTGCAAGAATTCCTTGGTAATAATTCTTTCTGGCCGAAGGCAGCATTGTCAGGGCTCCATGCTAGGAGCAAACATGTCAACAAAAGCCAGCTATTTCGGTTTAATCAATCAAAGGGGGAACACAAGAAATAACTTAAACAAAGTAATTCTCACAGTGATTGGTCACTTATGTAGGAAGGGTAAGAAATGCCACCAAAATAGGTGGCACTATGATATAATGCTAGGTGGTTCAAGGCAATCTTCAGGAGGCCTTACATGTAAGCTTCTATGGCTATTTGCACAAAGAATAGGTAGAGTTTTTGTACTTAGAGCTGCTAATAATGCCTGAATCATAGATAGTACACAAATTAAGTTTCAACTGAATAAGGATGACCATTTAATATTCTAAAAAAGTGATTAGTAGTGAAAAAAGAAAAGTCTTTTTGAATGTTTCTTCTCCTTCTTCAGGTTCTACAGCTGCATGTCTATAATGATTAGATAATTATTGTAATTAATAGTGTTCTCTGAGCTGGTTGGTTTAGTTGTGGAGCTTTTGTTGTCCTCCTGGACAACATCTTCAGCGCAATATTTAGCATAAAGTGAAATGATTTAAATTTCTTCATGAGCGATATAATTGCGTCTCCTGGTAACCATCTTTACATATATATTGACCATTTTCTATTGACTTGTATTTTAAACTTTCTGGTCACCTGATTTACTTTTGGTTAGTTGGTCTATTTCGTCTGTATTGGATTGTTATTAACAATATTTATGTATTTTGAATAACACTGAGACAGTAAGTAAAAAGATTACAGTTCGAAAGCATCTGCAAGTGATCAAATACATAATAATAATAATAATAATAGTAAAATGAAAATCAGATAAATTAAGGAGAGTAATACAGTGTTAATTACTCTATAAGTTCCACGATAAACCAGTGAGGAGATAATGGCCGGACCTGTTTTATTTGTACGTAGAGCTGTAGTGGGTGTAAGCGATGGCAATGAATTCCGCTGCTTGGAGTGTTCAGTGCCTGAAAGCTTTTGCCAATTTATTTGTTATTCGACAGATGATACAAAACTATACTTCAGTACTAGCTTTAATGCCTGTTCTGACCGGCTGATTTAATGTCGAACAGGGGATAGTTTTTGCTGCGCCTTTATAAAACCCCACTGGTAGGAGTTCATGATCACAAGGAGCTAAGATATTAGAGCAACGGTCAATATAATTGACTCCACGGGAGCCGCTGAACTGGTGGATACAATAAGACGTGACTTGGTCTTTCAGTTACAGAATGAAGACGAGTCATGTGGAAGATATGACCTAAAGCTAATAGGCATTACAGGTTTTTTGAATCGATCCTTTCAGTTTGCTGGTTTTTATTTCACTTGATACATCATCTTTGAATTTAGTCGTATCTATGGAGGCCTCCTGTTAACACCTAGAGCAACTTTTTTTCCTTTACGTTCCCAATGGAACATAGGGCTTCAAGCTAGATGCTTGAAGTTTCTGTAGCAGTGTTTATTTTTACAGGATGTGGTTGCTAGCCTCATGCCCAACCTTTCCTCTTAACCAGCTTTATTTCTGGCTTAGCGAGGTAAAGGAGTGCGTCGGCTGGGGGTCGAACCCCCGACCATGTACATGGTCGACGAGAGTCCTAACCGCTATGCCACCGACGCACATAGAGAAGAATTCGTTTTTACTCTCTTGAAAATGTGTTTTAGAATGAACTTTTCAGGGTAGCTGTTTTCAGTAAACACGTCATATACAACCTAAGTTCATCTTCAATCGGATCTTCCGATAAATATAGCTGTGATCCTGCGGCCAAGTGTCCTCATGAAATTTCTGTTGTACTGGAGTGGAACAAAGCTATGTAAAGATTGAAGCTGTTAATACTAATAATTCTTAAGTTATTATTGGACGTTTAACTTCATTGTTCACTGCAAATCAGTCCTCTAAAACAATTAATTTTTCATCAAATAATCACGTGCATTTCGTGGATATAGGTAATTTCACTAGTTAAGTCACCCCCCTCAATTAAATGCATACAGTCGTTATAACCACTACTACTACTACCACTACTAATAATATAAAACAACTGTCATTTATGTTTGTCTTCTATCGGGTTCATAATCTCTGTTTTTTCCCAATCATTTCTGTCCACTTTTGCCTTTAACGTTGTAGTGTTTTTTTTTCCTTCAAATAGACATATTTGACAGGGAGAACGGTATGAAATAAGACAGGCTATAATGTCGTTGTGAACGTATTCCAAACTGTCCAGTTTATCCACAAATCATATTCATCTCCTATTGTGTTTCTGCTTTCATTATTAACACTGCGTATACAAGTTAACAGTCATTCAAGATAACACCGCAGTGAACAGAGGAGAAGAGATCTAAAATAAACTGTGGGAAAGTATTCTCTCTGCCTATATATACCTCTCTCTCTGTCTCTTTGTTACTTTTGTAAGCAATAAAAGAGGTTGAATATGTTTCATTTCTCTATTTACATTTTACATAAGGCTAATCTATGGCAAAGTGGATTGTGGCATAAAAATAGTTACGGAACATAAATCAATCGTCAACTCTCACACACACACTCTCTCTCTACATATATATGTATGTATATATATGTAGGATTCCACCTTCATGATATAACAAGTGCTGGAAATAAATCATCGGTTTCATAAATAAATAAATAAGTAGACCGGAGTTTTCTGAAAGACATGCGATATTGATTTTGAAGAAGTCGGTGAACACCAGTATAAGAATTGGTAGTAGTAGTAGTTGTTGTTGTAGTAATGTAACAGCAGACCACGATAGTATTTGCTAGTGGGATTTAGCATTGGCAAATTGATGTACAGATATGGCAAAATACGCCTACCTGCCTGCCTTACATTAAATTGTCCATTTGTGTATGTTTTCCCTTATTATTGTTTAGTTTAATTCCTAAAGGAACATAGGGCTTCAGCCGAGCGTCTCCATTGCGTTCGGTTCTCTGTTAGAGTCTTCACCTGGCTCCGAGTCTGCCCACACATTT